GTTATAAAAAATAGGTTTAAATGCTGTTTTGTAGTTGCATATTATGCTATAGTCTGCACCAATAGTCCACAATACAGGCCTAGACAGTGTATGTCGAGGGGATCAGGGTGAAAGACTTCTTTATTAGTATAGAATATGCATTTTCCTTTTTAATTTATGTGCACTTTAGTCTATTTTGTAGATGTTGGAGGAGTTTTGAGATAATATCAGTATTTTTCAGTTGCAGATTTTTTCCTTTTCTATCCTCTTCTGAATTACTGTCTGTCCAAGCTGCCAGTTCTTCCCCTATTCATGAATTAAATGCCAGATGCCTCACCACAAAGAAGATACAAAAACAAGCTGCATTTGCCGTCAGTCCCAGTGACTGCAGTCACAGTCCACGGTGTAACTCCCCCTGAGCGGGTGGTTCTCCCTCTACTCTGCCCTTGTGAGACCCCATCTGCAGTGCTGTGTCTGGTTCTGCTGGTGCCTGTGTAAGAGGGACATGGAACTGCTGCAGAAAGCCCAGAGGAGGCCACAGTGTGGATGAGGGGACTGGAGCACCCTATGGAGACAGGCTGGGAAAGGTTAGGGCTCTTCAGCCTGGAGGAGAGAAGGTTGTGTGGAGACCTCACAGCACCTTCCAGGGTCTGAAGGGGCCTACAGGGAAGCCAGAGAGGGGCTCTTCATCAGGGGCTGTGGTGATAGAACAAGGGCAAGTGGGTACAGACTGAAAGGAGAAATTTAGATCTTAGGAAGAAGTTTATCACTTTGAGGGTGGTGAGACACTGGCACAGGTGGCCCAGAGAAGCTGTGGATGCTCCAACCCTGGCAGTGTCCAAGGCCAGGCTGGAATAAGGCCTTGAGCCATGTGGTCTGGTGGGAGTTGTCTCTGCCCATGGCAGGGGGGTGGGACTGGATGATCTTTAAAGTCCATTCCAAGCCCTGATCATTCCATGGTTCTGTGGTTCTGTGACTTGCCTGGCCGTGTGTCCCAGCCGTGACCAGAGCTCAGCTGGGCCCGGCCCGTGCAAGGCAGTGCGGGGAGGGAGCTCAGGTACCTCCAGAGCAGGGTCTGGACAGGATTTAACCAGCAAAGCTACCAGGTGAGCCCGGAGGAAGCACCTTCCCAGTTCAGGTAGCCTCAGTGGACAGTTTTCAGTTGTGGAATCTTGCCTTGGCCTTTCCCCTTTTCTCCCTTTGGGGCATGCAAACAGCTCACACCCTTTCACCCAATATTTGCTTGCCCTTGTGTTACAAATTAGGAGAGAGTTTCACACCGGGCTGTTGGATAATTAAGAAATACTGGGCCAGTGAGGCTGGGCTGGCTTCCGTTACTGCAGCAACAGATGTTTGACACTTAGAAAATATTTTTTTTTTTTCTGATTGACATGAAGTGCATGTGTTCTGAGGCAGTAAATGGAAGCTGTGAGTATAAGGGACAACAATAATATTTTTCCTGAAACCAAAAATAAATTTGATCTTTGTTAGTAGCTAAATAAAACATTGTATTAACTACTTTTTAAACAGCAGTAAGAGAAACATAACTTCCTAATATACTTGTGGTTTTGCTATTTCGAATAGAATGTATATATTTAAACAGGGAGCATTAACTGTCATTAGAATCCACTTCAACTGAGTTTCCCCTCTCTCTGTTTTTGGGCCACTGGTGCCAGTATTTACACTGTACAGGAAGACGCTTGAGCTACTCTCAGGCTTTGAGCTACTATTGTATTGCCAGAGCACAGAAGTACTTCTGAAACTTGGTTATCTCTGGAGTTTTCACTGCCCTTTGTGATGTACCAAATGTGCAAGAGGAAGATATGTAGAAATCTGCTTGTGAGAAAGTAAGAAAAATTGGCCTCCTGAAACTTTTTTCTACCATGAGTAACTTGCACTAATATTGGTGGAGTTTGTTTTCATAAAAACACCGACATGATGTCAAAACTGAATCATTTCCTTTAGTTTTTTTTTTCTTTCAGCCTTTCTAACCCAAATTGAATTGTAATTAGCCACAAGATACTTCTCTTATTGCTACTTAATCACAGTTTTCTAAGCTGTAGAAGTGTTCTGTCGTTCTTATGTGTGCCAGGTATAAATCTGGAAAATCAAAACTTGTAGAGAGCCTCAGGGTATGACCCTCGTTTGTTTACTGTGTTTAAGTGTGCTGCATCTTCCTGGCAATGTGGTATTTCTCAGTCTTTCTGTAATTTCTTTTTGAAACCCCAGCCTCTTTCAGTCCTAGCACTGGAACAAGTTCAGGATGAGTAGATACTGATGAAGTTCCCTTCCAAAAACTGACTAACTAATAACTCACGTACTTAGGTCAACTCAATTTTTTTTTTTACTGTGTAAAACCACTTTTCCACTTACAAATTCTGAATGCTTGCTGTGGTTTCCAGAATGTTTAGATCTGCCCAAATGCTAGAGAAGTTCCAGAAACAGTTGTTACTTATTCTTACTGGATTGTTTTGGAAGATTTCAGAACTTCCTGGATGGAGTCAACCCTGAGTATTTCTGCTAAAGCCAGAATTGTGTCTCCATTTGAAGTTGGCAAGAGCTCAGTTGCAGAGGAACCAGACTTCCTCCAGTGCTGTTTTTAAACAGAAAACAATCTGCTTTGCAGATTCCAGTTTTCTTCACAAACTAGAACACTGCCCTTTTCCTGTCTAATGTCATCTTTGTTACTGGATGACTTTCCTAACACAGTGCTGGAAGTAGACAGAAGTTGTGTGTTCTTCTAATCCTGCTGTTACAGAGTAAATTGAATCCCTGACAAGCTTTTTAACACCAGAGGAAGGACAATAAACACTGTTGTTCATATATTTTCAATATTAAACCTTTACAGTGCTTTAGGCTTGGGCCAATTAAAGCCTTTCCTAGTCAAGATAATAGTTTGCTGTCTTATTAAACTGCATAGGGTAAAATTTCTAGCCACAGGTACTTCTTCAGGTTTTGAGTTACACTTAGAAATTCTAGTAGTGTATGCAAGTGCTAAGTTGATTTTGTTCTGAGGAGGCAAATGCAGAGGAGATTGGGGCATTTTCTCCTTTCAGAGGCATAAACCATCTCCCTGTCCTCATGCACACTTTACTCTTACTTAATCCCATAAGCTTTTGTGACTATTTAAAAGCTGTTTTTCTATTAAAAAAAAGCCATTTGTTTTTTAGACATCAGTTAAATTAGGAAGAGAGGAGTGTCCCTTGTGTCCTAGAACCTGGGCTTTGATTTCATTTGTTCTGTGGCCCTGGCTACGGGACAGGAATAGAGTGGTGCAGATTTTCTGTCCCTGGAGCTTTTAACTGAGGATGTCAAAGTCAGATTATACTGAGAGCATCTCTTCCATCTCTGGCAGTGCATGAAGTGCAGTGTCAGCCAGGAGTAGGCTTGGACTACCAAAGTTTTGTGAACACCCAGCACGTAACAGCCGTAAGGAAAACACGACCTCGGGAGTGGGCTTTGCGTATGAACACCATAACACATCACTGCAAATGTTAAATCAACTCTAGACCGTTTCAAAATTGCTAGGAGCTTTCTCACCTGAGGAGAACCCTTTGGAGATGCTGAAAGCCCAGCTCTCTGGGAGAGAAGCTGCTTCTCCTCTTGGTGGGTTTGGTTTGTTCTTGCAGTCAGGCCTGACGCGCGCAGGTCGCTCCTGCTGGGAATGTGCATTTCCTGCAGCAAGAACCTGGGAGCTGCTGCTTCCAGAACAGCCAGAGAAAGACCTAAACAGGCTAGTTATGTTCAACAGTTAGGAGAAATAATGACCTCTGTAAGTCAGTAGAAAATATCACATATTCTAAATACTCCAGTATTAAATAGCACTTCTATTTCGATACTGTGAAATTTGTCACAAGTTCTAAATTTTCTTTTATTTGTAAAGAATGAGGAAGTTTACTGAGAACATCACTGCTGTATTTCAGTAGTATATAGTTATTTTGCCTTGAAGGTATCCTTGATGGTGCATTGATGTGAGCGTTGCATCTCATCTTTTCTCCTAAAGTCTAATTAAACTTAAATGGGATATTGAAGGCATGAGGTGTAATTTGAATAGCTAAGTTTGGCTTCTAACCAAATGGAATTGGCACTTTTGCAAGTTGAGAATGTCAGACTGTTATCCATTATATTTAAAATATGATGAGTATTTATTTAGCACCAGTTTGGGATGGTCCTGTATGGGATCAAAATCTTATACAGCCACATGCAAGTGCCAGGAGCACTAAAAACATTCCAGCACCTCTTTTATTTCACATTTCATCAGAAAATGTTTGTAGGAGAATTTTGCAAGGGACTTTTAACTCAGCTTCAGTCTGTAAAATCGACTGAAATCTTAGATTTATGGGGAAAGCTATTAAAGCATAAGTAGGTTAAGTATCAGTTCAAGCTTTCTGTATGTAAAAACCCAGTAGTCCAAGAGAATGATTATGCTGTGACTTTCTGGAGCCTTGTCTCTGCAGTCACACACAGCCATCTTTCATTCACTGGTCATGGGACCAGTGAGGCCTCATTGCCCATATAACTGTGCTTTTGTTCTGCAAACTCTTCTCTTACCTCAGCACCCAAAACCTGCTTCATGTTCCCTGTGCCTCCCTTGGGCAGTGGGTGCTGTGGGGAGTCCTGAGTTCATCTTTCTACTGATACTCATCTGTCAAGGATGAGAAAGGTCTTGTTGTTTCTGCCTTCAGGCAGAAGAATGGACCATATGGAATATGAAAGTCTCTTTCTTGTCCTTTTTTTTTTTTTGATGTGTTTTAATTAAATTACATTAAGCTGCTGTTCATAAATTTATTCAGAACATGTTTAAACTTGGAGGGGGAGGGGGTAGTGTCCTATAAAAATTAAACTACTTTTTCATAGCTTGGTCTCTCTCTGTACAATGTAGTTTGGAAGCTTAATCTTTTCCAATAATGCAATTGCTTTCCTCCTTTATGGGTTGTGTTTGGAAATTCTAAAGATTCCTCCTTTCTGCAAGGCAAAAGAATTCCCAACCTCTAACATGTTCTTTTTTTCTTTTTAATATAGATCTAACTGACCCTGAAAAACCCTCAGTCAGCACTGTCAGATCCCTTGTAAGTACTCCTGTGTGTGTGTCAGCTTTTACATGGGTTCCAGGGAAAAAGCCAAGGGTGTCTTTTTGGGACTCACTAAGTTTTTCCAGCTGATGTCTATTAAGAATTACAGCCGAGTTTTGTCAGGATAGAATCATGATTCTGTTTTAAATTATTACAAATATGTACACATTAGCTGAGTTTTCTGGTTTTATAAACACTTGCAAAAGCATTTCAAATTAACTTGAAATTCCAAAATAGAAGAAATGCAACCTTCCTGAATTAGCCAGTTCTTGATTTTTAGCCAGAAGTTTTCCACCAGTAGGACAATTTCTGACCAAGCTCCTCCCGAGCCCAAAGAGAAGCTGTGCCACTGTGTCACTATGTTAAACAGTTTGCAGTTGTCAGACAACTCTGCTCTTTATCCAGGTCACTGTGCCTGGTCACGTGGGTTTTGTTGGAAGGTGAGGAGCAGGGAGAGCTCTCCATGGGGTTTGTTTTTTAGTGTCATGTCTGACCATGGGTGTGCTCTGACCTTTCCTCACTGGCTCTCAGTGCCACGGCTGATTCTGTTTGCAGTACAAGCTCAAGTGCTGTGTTTGGAGCACTGAATTAACTGCAATGACAGTTTATAACAATAAATCTTCATTTCAGAGAACTGGAGCTTAGGAAAGTAAAATGATCTCTCTTCTGCTGGGGTTGATGATGATGAAGTTAGTCATGAACAAGCATGTATGTTTGGAAAAGAATGTAGCATTCATCTTTTTTTATAAAAAGAAACATGCAGAATACTTTTTTTCCAAACAAGTCTGAGCTTAGTTTAGCTTATCTTAGTTTATTATATTGTCATTCAACATAATTTTATTCTGTAGATGTAATTACAGAAATTAATATGGTGGTCATGTTAAGTATCTGCAGATCTCTTAATCTCACCTTACATTAAATGCTGTTGATATTGGCTACAACACAACTGCCTATGTTGGGATTCTTATTAAAAACCCCAACAGCCTATTGACACATTTCTGTTAACACTGTCTGTAGCAGTTGTCTTGTTTAATCTGAAAAGTTAATTGTAGCCTCCCTCATCACCTGAGGGTGGCCAATATATTAATAAAGGTGTATTTTGAGGTGTGCCCACATTCTTTTAATTCTTGATGGAGCCCTGAGAGTTCCCCTGTTCTCAGCCATTCTGTGCCCAGGACAGCCTGGATTTGGGATGAGTGTCAGTGCTGCTGCTCCCTGGGTGTCTGAGGTGCTGCCCTTGGTCAGTGCAGCTCTCCCTCCACCTCCCCACCGTGGCAGTGTCAGCAGCTCTGTGTGTGCCAGCCAGGTGTGTGTCAGCAGCTGTGTGTGTGCCAGCCAGGTGATCACACTCACCTCTATCTCACATGCCAGTGCAGACAAGTTACAGGCCAGTGCTCTGGCCACACCTGGGGTTTGCTCTGATGCTTTTGTTTTTCTCCCACTTGCCCTCAGTCCTTATTCAGGCCCAGTTCTCCGAAATGAGGAAAGATTTCTGACATGCAGATAAAATCTTGCCAAATTGTGTTGTTTGTTTGTTTGTTTTTTATTGACTGGAATTGGTTAAATTTTATTTCATTTTCCTTACCTGGAGTTTGAAATACATGTATCGAAGTAGTTTTTGAAGGTGGAAAAGCAAATCTGTGTAATCCCTTTCCAAGAGTCTGACATTGAAAAGTAAGAGATCAGGAATGCAGTTGCAGTTTTGGAATATGATATGGTTTTTAGATGACAACATGTAGACTTTTGAAGACTCTATCGAGATCCATTGTATGAATATAAGTTGATATAATATTTTGAAAAGCAGTAAAACAATCTACTGTATCTTTTCTCTGTAGTACAAATACTTAGGGGAAAACAAGCATTGACCTTTCCCATAATTACGCAATTGGGGCATTACTCAAGTAGCTTAAACACAATATTTTGATGTGAAGGACAGAGTTACTCTCAACAGCCCTGAACTATTCAGAGACAGTGGGGAAAATTCTGTGAAAAGTATGGAAAAGATTCCCTGTGTGTCCTCCCCAGAGCAGGTGCTCTATTGTGCAGCGTACGGGCCTCTTAAATCAGTTACTTCAGTCTCCTTTGTCTTGATGCTTCTGAAGTGAACTCTTAGAACGACTAAAACTAATGAACTGACTGTAATATTACTAATTTAATTAATTTTTCTTTTTTTTTTTTTTCCTGCTCTCTGCTTGGCACTGGTCTTCACCCGCAGGCGTCCACTGTTGGCTCTCAAAGGTTACTAAAATTTTAGCAGCTGCTGTGAATCAAACCTAACCTTCACCTGCTGTTGCTTCTCCCCACACCCCACTGCGCTGCTGCTTTGCTCTTGCTCGCTTCAGAACTTCCTAAGGGGGTTTCTTTTTTAAACACCCACAATGAAACTTAGGCTAGACGTGTGTAGCGTTCTCTTGCTGCCCGTGTACGTGTTGATCTCCCTGTACAGTGTGCTGGTATTTATTCCCTGGTATTTTCTCACCAATGCCAAGAAGAAAAAGGCTATGGCCAAACGGTTAAAAGCTAAACCCACCTCGGACAAACCTGGGAGCCCCTACCGCTCTGTCACCCACCTGGACTCCCTGGCACACATCAACATTCCCGGAGCGGACACCCTGGACAAGCTGTTTGACCACGCTCTGGCAAAGTTTGGCAAGAAGGACTGTCTTGGAACCAGGGAAATACTGAGTGAGGAAAATGAAATGCAGCCAAACGGGAAAGTGTTCAAAAAGGTAAAACTTACAGTTTTGTACTTAATTCTGATTTGGTTTTGAGCTGCTTTGCGTCTTGCCTCAACACTGCATGTCTCTGTAGAGCTCTTCTTCAGTCCTCATCTTATAAACCATCCATTTGATGGTAGTTAAAGAATAACAGAGTACAGGATGCACTAGTTATTCTGCTGCAAGAAAAATGAAAGCAATTTTAACGAATGGCAGTGTGTCCTTACGCTGTTATGAACCAACTCACATCAGCTGGTAGAGCTGTACCAGCAGCTTCTTATCATCCAAAATTCATTGTTTTTCCTCACCAGTTAATTTTAGGAAGTTACAGATGGCTGTCCTATGAAGAAGTAAATGAGAAAATGACTCGCCTGGGGAGTGGACTGACTGCCCTGGGACTGACCCCCAAGAGCACTGTTGTCATATTCTGTGAGACCCGAGCAGAATGGATGATTGTAGCCCTGACCTGCTTCAAGTACAACTTCCCTCGTGAGTGCTCGACCTGCTTGCTTCTGATGTATTTTAGAACCATTTCTCAGCACTGGTTTGGCTTTGAAGTATTTTGACCCTGCCAATCTTGTCACTGAAGGTGTAAGAATTTCATAAACTTCCTCTGCTGATGGTCTGGTTCTTACAAGTTTTCAGTCTCTTCTCTGTGTTGTGGAGATCTCTCAAATTAACTTGCTCATACTTATGAAACTTTTTATGATTTTATTGTAGTAGTGTTCTAGATATTAGAATGACAGAACAGTACAGTTACTCTTCAGGGTTTTTTTAAATACTCTGAAGATGTCAGGAGTGCCATTTGTCCCCCCAAAATGTGGGATGTTTTTACAGTATTTCTTGACTGTATCCTGACATGAAATGGTTATTAGAAAAGAGAACAATGGTAAACAAAAGCATATGATAGAATGTGGATGTTTTGGTGACATTTATAAGCTGTTCAACTTCATGACAATTACACATGGGGTTTAGTTTGGGGTTTTTTTTTCTTCTTTTTTTTTAAATTTATTTAAGCTGTCAGAAATGTCTAATTGGAATTAATTCATACATTCTTGTTGGTGAGGTGCAAAGGTGACCTTGCACTCACGTGCCCAGTCTGCACACACCGTACTGTGACCACAGCTCAGTTTGTTTGCTGCCTTGTGTTTCTGCTTGCACTGGGCTGTCTTTTTCTTCCAGTACCAGCAGTATCTGCCTGTGGGAGGAGCAGCTCAAATTCCTTTAAGGGTTAGAAAATTAGAAAATTCCCAGTTGAGCTAATAATAACCCTCCCCTCCTGCAGTGCTTCCCAGGAAGCTGAAGCAAGAGCTCTTGCATTTAGTGTCACTTTAACCTCTCTCCCATCCTCTCCCTCGCTGTGACAGTTGTCACTCTGTATGCCACGCTGGGTGAAGAGGCAGTGACCTACGGTCTCAACGAGTGTGGAGCATCATATCTGGTCACGAGTGTGGAGCTGCTTGAGAGCAAACTTAAGGTAATTTGGTACCGGCTTCACCTGATACAAGCAACCCTATAATAATTTTGCAGTACAGGCAGTGCTAAAAATGTCGTTTTTCTTCTGTAGACTGCACTGCCACAAGTCTCCTGTCTGAAACACATCATTTATGTGGACAAGAAGACCATCAATAAATCAGAATACCCTGAAAACGTGGAGATTCATAGTATGCAGACAGTGGAAGAGCTGGGAGCCAAACCAGAAAACTGTAAGTGAATCACTTCAGAGAGGACTAATCAGAACTCTGTTAGCAGTGAAATCAGACCTGGGGTAAGAGGGATGTGTAGCAGAAAACCCCCCAGCTGTGCAGCTGTCCAACCAGAGACAGTGGCAGATTGTCAGTTCATCCTCTGGCTCCCTTTAAATAAACAAAAAATTTGTTAGATCACTTTTGTTTAAGTGTCAGATATGTCAGGATAAAACTTTGGTTTTAACTTCTAAACCATAAGCGGAATAATTTAAGACTCCACCTTTGTTTTAGGAAATGAAACAGAACCCAGTGCAGTGTTGCATTTTTTGCTACCCTTACCTTTTATTCATCTTATTTTCACTACTTTTCCTAAGAAAAGAGGAGAAAACACTTGAAGGATTTTGTGGTTGGTTGGTTTTGGTTTTTTCAATTGGCTTGGAAATGTCCATTTTCTTAACCAAGCTGTAGCTAAAAAGCACCTTGGGTTAGAGGAGTAACCAGTACATTCCTTGCTCTCTTGGGCAGCCAGGAGTGACTGTAAACAGAAGGAAGGAGAACCCAGTCCTGATGATCTGTTTTCCTTTCATGAGCAGTCTGTACTTAGCCTCATCTCCTCTCTTTTGAATAAAGGAGGAGCTAAACTGGCAAAGGAGCTTTGGGAAGCACAGACTCCTCAAAGCTGGTTATCTGTGATCAGCCTGAGGTGCTGGTAGAGACCAGCAGTGACTCTGAGGGCTGTTGTTTTGTTGAGTTTTGTCCCTAAAAGACCTGCTTTCCTTGCAGACACTGTGAAAGCCATGAAAGCCAATGATTTTCATCCTAAGAATATGGCTGTAAGCCATGATGACAGAAGTATCACTCAGATTGTGTAGATGCCCAAATTTTCATAATCCTTTTAAAATCGGCCTTCCCTCTCTTCCTCTTAAAAACAGATCCCTGTTTTCTCCAGCCTTGACTTCTGCCTCCCCCGCTGCCCATGCAGCAGCACGGTGTGCTTGCCTTGGGTGGAGCACCTGTTTCACACTGACTACAGACACTGTCACACTGACTGATTAATTACAGAAATAATAATTATTCAGAAAGTAGATAAGAATTAATAACAGTTTTTCTCCTGTGTTTTTTAGCAAGCATTCTGCCAAGCAGACCTGTTCCCACAGACTTGGCTTTAGTAATGTACACCAGTGGCTCTACTGGGAGACCCAAAGGAGTGATGATGCAGCATAAAAACTTAATTGCTGGAATGACAGGACAGTGTGAGAGGATACCTGGACTGGGGTAAGAAACACTTAGTTGTGTATGGAGAGGTAAAACAGAACCTCCAAAAGTATGCAAATTTATAGAGATGCTGCTGCTGGCCTTGTGTGTTATCAAGTTTGTTCATTTTATTGTGAGTCCACTACTCTAATTTATAAGAAATGTGCCTTGTGTTTATGAACTTCCCTGTTTGAAAAGTATGCCCTTCTGGCTCTTTTCTCATGTGCTGTTGCTACTCTGTTTTATTACCCTTAGCTCTAGGTCAGTGGCGGATTTTTGCACTTTTGAGCGTCACAGGATGCCACTGGAGAAGGAGATTCCTCATCTAATGCAACGTGGGGAATTTTTTTAACACATTTTCAGGCAGCTCGAGTCAGTGTAGGAAATATGTCAGAGGCTACCACTGCCACTGACCTACAGACACCGCTGTGGCTCATGCACGTGCTGCACAATCTGCTCCAGGGCAGTTGGCTGAAGGAGCAGAGGAGGAATCAGTTGTGTGCTGATGACAGTAAAACCAACTGCAAGTTCCCTCACATTAATGTTCTGAGGAGACTTTTCATGACAGTGGGTGTATTTGTGCTGTCACAAAGGGTTCAGGAGCTGAAATGAGCTCTGTTGCTCCACTCCTCTGTGAGAGGGTACAGCCCCAGCTCTGACGGGGGGCTGGAAGCTGCAGTTCAGTGACAGCCAGAAGGGTCTTGCTGAGAAGTCTCTGAGCAGTTTCTTCCTGAAATAAGCCTCAATACTTCAGTGATCAGCCCTCTTCCTAGAAATGTATCTTAAAAGAAGATGGCTGACAGGGTTTTGTAAATCACTGGTCATTATTATAAAATGTAGAGATTTCATCCGTAATTTCATAACTGGAATGAAATCTCCCCCAGGGAGAGGAAACAGCAGTGAAGCACTAAGGAACCTTCATGTTTCCTAGAAAACAAGGCAAATCCTGTAATTCATACTGATTTCAGTAAGGTCACACCTCCCCATTTTGTTTACACACTGTGGCTGAAATCACATCCTTCTTTGCCTGCAGAAGAATAAGCCTTACTTGTGATCCGGGTCTTCCAAACAGCAACAACTAAGCACACAATAAAACTGTTAAACTGTATTTTCAGTCCATTTGTGCCTCGTGGTTAATTAGTAACCCTTTCCTTTCCCAGCCCCAAGGACACTTACATTGGCTATTTGCCTCTGGCCCACGTGTTAGAACTGACAGCAGAAGTTTCCTGCATCACCTACGGCTGCAGGATCGGATATTCCTCCCCACTCACGCTCTCGGATCAGGTGAGGGGGTGCCAGTTATTAATCATTACTCTTACTATCACAATGGGGGGGAAAATTATGCAGGAACAGGGGAAGAGATTGATACAAATTACATGATAATATATCTCCCTCTTTTTTTAGCCCCTCAATTTTAAAGAGCTGTTTGGTTTTCTGCTTCATAAATTGACTTTTGTTTTTTTTTTTACAGTCAAGTAAAATTAAGAAGGGAAGCAAAGGAGACTGTACTGTACTTAAGCCTACACTGATGGCAGCTGTGCCTGTAAGTATGCAGAAGCAGATATGTTTAGCAAAAAAAAAATGAAGTTTTCTATCTTTTCATGCTAGAAAAGTCTATTTACTAACATGTTTTTCTCTTCACATGACAGTAACTGTCACCAGTAGTAAAGAGCAGAATGTAGACGTACCAGTTGTCTTTGGTTGAACTGAGTACTGATGATGCAGACCTGTACTAAAGAGTCTGTACTAAAGCCAGGACCCTTTTTGATCCAAACCTGTAAATGTGCTCCACTAGTTGCAAGTGGTGTTTTACTGGACTCCTGATGTGACACAGAAAGCCTCTGACAGTCACAGTCTGGAACTCCTTTTCCCACAGGGACAAAGCAGGGTGGCTTTGGCCAACAGGACACTTTAGGGATATGGGCAGTTGGTTGTCACAGGCTCAGGCTGTGCTGCCACAGTTTTTGGGGTGCTCAGGCTCAGCTCCTCAAGGTAACACTGAGGCCGAGTCTCTCTTGCTGTTCTCGGGGTAAGCAGGACAGGCTTAGTCTCTTAGAAGCAAAAACGACCAGGACTCCAATTGCTTCTGTAGCTCCTGCTGCTCTTTGAGGGACCAGGCTCCTGCATTCCACAGGGTTAGGGTGGTATGCAAACAAATCCACAAATGTTTGTGTCTTTCTAATGGAATCACACGTGCTGCTTTTGTGATCCTATCACATCTGTGGCTCATGGGACTGGTAGCACCAGCTGTTGCCACATGGTGGGGGTGAGTGAGTAGGAGGATTTCACTTCATTTAAGAATAGAGTTTTGGTTGCTCTGCATCTTAGAATAGCCAAGAGTTTTAAAATGAATTATTCACTTGCATTCTTTCATTTTATACAATGCTAAGCATATACAGCCGCTTGGTCTCTTTCTTCATAATTAACAGAGTGATAATTAATATTACTGAGAACCCCAGCCTGCTGGAAAATATCCATTTAAATTTATTTCATGGGGAGAAAGCACATAAATACTTCAAAGCATTGTGCTCCAAAACAAACTTGAAGGAGCCAATCTGTAAACTTCTACTAAATACTTCATCAGTCTGAACACTATTTTAGGTTCTGGGTATTTTAGTGATCATAAGGTTATTATTTTAATGGGAATTAATCTCTCCTCTGTGACAGAATTGTGGTGGTTTTTTGTCAGATAACTGGAATTACTGCAACCACATTGCTTTGAAAGTTGAAAAACAATCTTGGAAAAGGAAATGGTGAACTGGAATCTCTTGGTTCATTCCCGTGCACTTGCCAATTGCTGTGGATAAAGTACAGCATCAGGACTCCTCAGCACAATCCATCTCGCATGGAATATACCAACCTCTAGCCAAGAGATTTACCTAAACTTGAATTCAGAATTTTCTAAACCACTTTGTCACAGTTTAAGTACAGGTTAAGGTGTAAATAGCACCCAGCTGTGGTGGTCTGCAAATTGACTGATGGATCACACACTGCACTTAAGCACTACCTAACCAATGGTGCAAATGTTTTCAATCATCCATTTCAAAGGAAGAATAATGTGGGGGCTTATTTATAGCATAACATGGACTTTAATTTACTCATGCTAGTCTACTGCTCCTTGTGGTAATTTTCCTTGCTTTTTTTAACATTTTGTAGGAAATAATGGACAGAATTTATAAAAATGTCATGAGTAAAGTTCAGGAGATGAACTACATCCAGAGAACTCTGTTCAAGATAGGCTATGACTACAAACTGGAGCAGATCAAGAGGGGGTACGATGCACCTCTGTGTAACATGTAAGTACGATTCACCACCCAAGTGTACCTTTTGCCTTGGGATATCTGTTAAGACACTCTAAAAGAATGATCATCTGTGCAATCAGACAGTTCTTATCCAACACGCAGATACCATCTAATGACTAACTGAAGTAATCCAAGTTCTTACTGGAAACGGATAAGATATTTAATGGCAGGAATGACTAATCTTCCCAACAGCTGACTAGTTAGTTTTCATTGGATTGCAATTTTTATTTTGTAATAAAATTGGAATGTTTGTTTAGTTAAGCTGCAGGAATTCTGCCTCTTCCAGTGTTACACAAGAGATAACGGGTTTGGATTTGCCCTCCTGTCCCTACTAAAATCTGTGGTTCGTTTTTAAGGCGTTCCAGAGAGGAAGGAAGGAAGAAGGTTTTTGTCTTTGATAAAAGCGAGCTGAGTGAATAATTTTTAATGCTCCTTTCCTCCTTTCCAGACTATTGTTTAAGAAAGTGAAGGCCCTGCTGGGGGGGAATGTGCGTATGATGCTCTCTGGAGGAGCACCGCTCTCCCCTCAGACACAAAGATTCATGAACATCTGCTTTTGCTGTCCTGTTGGCCAAGGCTATGGACTCACAGAGACCTGTGGAGCTGGAACCATTACAGAAGGTAGTTAAAACACCTCTGGAAATACATAATAAGATCTAGGTGTGCATGGGGGGTTGGGGGATTGCTGTAAAGTCCAAATAGCTGCAGTTCTTAACTGCAATAAAGTGATGTGAGATAAACTACGGCCTATTTATATTTCAAGTGACAAAAAACCTTTCTGTTCTTTGTTGTTCTCTTCCTAAGTTGCTGATTACAGCACTGGCAGAGTTGGAGCTCCTCTTATTTGCTGTGAAATAAAACTGAGAGACTGGCAAGAAGGTGAGAGCATTAATTGGTTTGATTTCAGAGTAACTAGTTTAGCCCCTGCCTCGCTGGTTTCTTTGCCTACCTGCTTATCTAGGTGTAGCAGATGAAGTAATTGTTCTTTTTCTTTTTTAACATGACCAATTAGTGTGTTTTAACTTCAAGCTGATGTATTAAAGTATTTTCTTGGCAACAGAATATACATGTTAAAAAATACTTATGTTGTTTTCAGGGGGTTATACTAATAAAGACAAGCCTAATCCTAGAGGAGAAATTGTAATTGGTGGACCTAATGTCTCCATGGGATACTTTAAAAATGAAGAGAAGACAACAGAAGAGTTTTCCATTGATGAGAACGGTCAGAGATGGTTCTGTACAGGAGACATTGGGGAATTTCATCCCGATGGGTGTCTGCAGATCATAGGTGGGCCTCAGCTTTTGATACCTTAATATGTTACCAGATACTGGCTAAACATAATCATAAGAATGCTATTAATGCTGTTGGCTTTGCCAGGACTAACCTACTTGAGGTTATTTGCTTGCAGAGTCACAGTGTAAAACACATTTCCAAAAGTCCTCACAGCTGTAGTAATGGAAGTGATGCCATTTTCTGTGACATTATCACCATCTAGATGTAGCACACAAATTTTCAAGAATAAATCTAAGATTAACTTTTGTATTAATTACCAATCTTTAGAAAGAGAGTCCTCATCACTTCCTTACAAGCTGTGTGACAAAACATGTAGTGCTGTATGGACTTTTTTACAGAAGTTTTTATAAACTTGGCAGCTATTAGCTGCTTTAAAATTTTACTTAAGATGCTTTAATTAATGTTTGTGCACAGCACTGCACATAATCCATATATAGTGCCTTTGGAAATGAGTCTGTGGAAATGCAAAAGTTTAAATGAAACAAGCTTTTCTTTTGCCTTCCCCTGACTCCCAGATCGTAAGAAAGACCTGGTAAAGCTACAAGCAGGAGAATATGTCTCTCTGGGCAAAGTAGAGGCAGCACTGAAGAACTGTCCACTGATTGACAATATCTGTGCTTATGCCAAAAGGTAAGAGTGGTATTAATTCAGAAACTTCCTTCAGAGTGAACATGAAATGCAGGCTCTGATCCACTTCTCTGATGCAACGCTCTGGGTTTCTGTGGTTTCCATTGAATAACCCCCTCCACCAGAATGCAAATTCCAAAGAGTGTTCCTGAAGGAGCACAGGTTCCCAGATTCCCTGGAAGCTGAAGAAATGAGCAGTTTTTCTTTGGGCATTTCACCCATCCAAATACACTCCAGTTCCATCCCATCCCTTCCCTAAACAGGCATTGTTATATTTAGGATGTGTTTTGGCCTTCTGTCAGAATACCAGTGAAAAGTTGATCTGGACACTTTGCACCTAATCCAGAGCTCTGCAGGGAGTTCTGGAAATGGTCCTGGTCTCTCCTCCCCCTCCCCTCAGTTCAAAACTCTGTGTGAGGGGGAACTGCAGAGAACTGGCTGAGCCCCAGGTTTAGCTGGGAAACTAAACTGAGATGTGCACATGGAAAATACACAAAGATTCTGATTCTGATCAAACCCAACACTGTAAACCAGCTTCCTGTTCAGCCATGAGTTGGGAAGACTTGCTGTACAAGAAGGATTCTGTATGGGGGAGTAACTCAAGTTCAGAGAGCCCTGTGGGCATCTGTGGCTCCAACATCAGGTAATTTACTCCTGGAAATGGAAGTCTTGACCAGATCTTTCTCCTTCCTTCCCTTGCCATCCTGGGCAGTGACCAGTCCTACGTGATCAGTTTTGTGGTTCCTAATCAGAAGAGGCTGACAGCTTTGGCTGAGCAGAAGGGCATCAGTGGAACCTGGGTGGACATTTGTAACAATCCTACAATGGAAGCAGAAATCCTGCGAGAGATTAAAGAAGTGGCAAACAAGAGTAAGTAACACAGCCCATGGTGCTGGCCAATCTCCTGGGGCTTACCCAGCAAAAACTCTGTTATCCTCACTAACTGCTCCTCCTTCTTCCACCTTCTCTCTATCTGCCAGATTATCCCAGGAATTTACATACTTTTTAGTCCTATTACTGACTTTATTTTTTTGTATTGTTTAAAAAACATCTGAAGGTTTTTTTCAGCTAAATTCTAGAGACGGGTTGTTTGCCTAATACAGTTAAAATAAGGCCCACAAGAGATGTCACCTCATACAAGGAAGCAGTAAAAGCTGGACTTAAAAACAGGCTAAGCACTGCCTCTGGAACTGCACAGAGGAGAACCTGCCTTTTGAAAATGAGAAAACAAGAATGAAAGGCACTATTAAGTCTTGCCTTTTAAAAACATAAATCAATCTGTAGGTTTTAGGTTGGATTTAAAACAATTTAATCCATGTTTTTCTGTCATGAGTTAGGCAAATTACTATCATTATAGCTTAGTACTCAAACCCTTTGCTTACACATTCTTTGTACCCTCTGGATAGTAACCTGCTATTGAGACACAACTAATTTATTTCCCAAAACTATTTTAAAGAGATCGTTCTCGTTCTTAGTGGAACATAAAGCAACTTCCTCACGAGCAGGCACCTGTCTGAGCCAGAGGCAGCCGAAATTAGAGAGGTGCAAACGCTCCCGGCTCCCGTCTCTGCTGCCCCCCGGAGGCTGTGCTGGAAATTCAGCTGCCAGTCCAGTGCATTATTAGAATATCTGCACACTAACCAGCACTCAGCACTGGTGCAGGATTAAATCTGCCCGTGGCCCTCCTGTAAGGTTATTTCATCAAGTAGGACACCATATTATACAAGCTACCAAGTGCTCACCTTAAATTTGTAGGTAGCACAAATTAGTATTTCATTTGGCTTTGTAATCACAGTCATGCTTTTCTTCCTTCTTGTCCCTGCAGTGAAATTAGAAAGGTTTGAAATCCCCATCAAAGTTCGGCTAAGCCCTGAACCCTGGACCCCGGAGACTGGGCTGGTAACAGATGCTTTCAAGCTGAAAAGGAAAGAACTGAAAAACCATTACCTCAATGACATCGAACGAATGTACGGAGGCAAATAAAGCAGCTCTGGTGGCCAGGCAGTTGTGCAGATGGTTCTTCTCCTGCCTCAGTTCTGGATGTCTGTGTATACTGTAGATATCACACATTCAAAAAACACACCAAATAGATGACTTTCTGTAATCTCTATCGAGTAAGACAGAAAATCTTAGACTCCAAATTCGTAATTATTAGAGATTAGACACTGATGGTCTCCATAGAGTTTCATGTGATAATCTCCAGTTTCCAGACAGACATCACTATGTGAAGCAGTATGACCAGGTAATTTTATTATTATTGTTTCTCCAGCATATTCAGACTGCTTGCAACTTCTGTTTAACTCCTGCTGAAGTATGATCTGTGTTTCAAAGAGTTAAAAATAATGTGATTGTGGTGATTCTTCTGTCATAATAAGACACTTAGCAAAGGAGGCAAGAGGAGTATCTAATGTCTATCCCTTTCCATTTAAAAACAAAACCAACAACATTAGTCAAGAACTTGTTAGAGATCCCTAATAACACATTGCTTGAGAATGGATGAGTTCTTCTGCACATCAGTATCTTGATTATTTACAGTGCCTACAAAAGAATATAAAGTACACTTACTGAAATAAAGGTGAACTGAAAAGCTTTCTAAAACCAAGTTATATGAAATTTCATCCAAGACCATTGAATTAACTTTCAGCTCCCAACTCACCAAACAGATTTTACTTGATGCTGGTTTTTAATTCAAGCAGAGCTTTCCACTGGGACACAGCGTAGAAGAAAACAAAGACTTGTGCTGCTCCAGGGGGTAACTGGTGAGAAATCAGTGCCCAAATGCAGGATGCACAACTTGCATCTGGGCTGGCAAACAGCACTGAAACTGAGGGCAGTGGTGTCTAAAGGGACGTGAAACTCAGAGGAGTTTGGGTGGGTTTTATTGAGAGTGATTGGTGGTTTTGTTTTCAAGGCACTGATCCTCTAGACCTTCACATGGTACAGGTCACCTGTACAGAATTTAGAGGCTCAGGTTTTAAATGTCTGGATCTGCTCTATAGAAAGGTATTTCTGTTCACCTTTGAACTGTGGTAAGCTTAACAAGGCAACCAGAAACCAACTGTAGTTCCCCTATCTAGTGTTGTTGTTTTACTTACAGAAAAGTAGTTTGTGGCCAGGGAATTTTTGTTTTATGGAACTTGTAAAAAGGGACAAATCACTCTTTACAGAAATTCATTATGAAAATGTTCTCTTATTAACTGGAAGTCAGAGATGTGAAAGAGTGGGAAGATATAATTTAATAATGCTTCATAATTTTTTTGTGCCGAATTCTGTACTGTGTCTTCTTTTGAATTGTAACTGAGCTCCTGCATCCCTGCCAGCTCTTCACACTTGAACCATAAGTGCTGTAAAAAGTGAAGGCTCTTGATACTGTTCTACTTTGCACTTTCTTAGTCATTTTATATATGTTGCTTACATTTTGTACAGCTGTGGCCCTCAACTGCTATATATTCCAAATTCACTTGAAAGTATATATAGATTTCTATTCATAATATTTGTGTTGTGTATATGATGGTTAAAAAGAAAAACTATTTGGTATTGTCACTGTACAGAAAGTAAAAGATTTTGTACAACGCTTGTCGAACACACGAGCTTGCAACTTCAGGGTAAGCTTTTTCTTTCGTTGCATGTATGTGTATTTTTCTTTTTTCCCAGTTAAAATAGGCTTTGGCAAAAATAAATCATGGCTATATACTCCTCAGCTGAATCAGCCCTCCTCCTGGGGACCAACTTGAAACTTCCCAAGGCATAACTTTCTCTGCCTAGACCAGAACACTGCCAGCTCATCTTCTGAGAACCCCGAGGGGAAGGAGGAAAAGAAAACGGTATAGAAAGCTGACTGCATCCAGTTGTGCATGGAACTGCAAGAGTCACTCAAAGGAACAAGGAAATAGCTTTTCTAAAACAATTAAATTTTTTTTTTTTTGAAGACATACATTTGGTTTACAACAACAGGAATTACTTCCCATATCAGTAGCAACTTTTCGAATTACCCGGTCCTGGAGCCAGGTTACCAATTTTTCTGTGTTAAAAAATGGTCACTATTAAACAGCCTTTAGTCAGCCTGTCAGCATCACAAAAGTGAAGTACATATAAGAAAGATGCTTGCACTTGAGTCTGTCAGCAGGCTACAAGACTTTTTTTTTTTATTTTTTTTAAAGCCATGAATGTATTTATATGAAATGTATTTTATCTTCTGTGTCTTGGTTGACTGAGGATTGCTATTTTAAAAAAATATACATACACAATGTTAACATTTCAAAAGTGGAATACAACTTAAATGGTTCAACAAGTTTGTGTTCTGGCAGATCTTTCTGTGTTGCACAAGTTCTCTCTGGTTACTGTTCTGTGCCTCCCATTCTGTCCGAAACCCAGCCTGCCTTAAAAGGACTTCCCAAAAGCAGCAGCAGTGAGTACCTGCTGCAGGTATTAAAAACAAAGCCTCCAGGGGGCCTCGTTTGGCTTTTAAGGAATGAACTAAATATGGATGTGCTGCAAAAGACAGTTTGATCCACCATCAGCTTTTCAGGCATTTCTGGAGAAGGGGAAGGTCTACATCAGGCTGCCTTCAAACATGGGGGTTGTTTGCAAATAAAATAACCTGCAGTTTAGAAAAGAACTTTATCCTTCATTTGAATGAATTCTGAATCCTTTTTGTGACAAGGCTTGTAGAGAAGCAACAGAGGATGAGCAAGAATGTGCAATTCTTGCCATTAAAAATAAGGAACTGGGATGCAGATGAAGGGAAGTAAATTCCTTTCAAACCATTATGTGATAGGTGCTGTATCCTGTGCTGGGCAGAAAGAACATAGAACATGGGACTGAAGTGGGAGGGAGAGGTTCATGGACTACATGTGATGGTTCCAGAATGCTCAGAGTAGCTGCAAATTCTTCAGAAAGCAGTTTCAGAATTAAAAATTATCCTCCTAAATCTGAGAAACAAATTCAAAGAGAAAAAAAAAATCCAGTTTGGGCATATCCCATAGAAGATTCTATTTTGGCCCCCTACCTCGAAAAACATGGGGTGTCCAGAGAAAGATTATAACTACCTTTTCAGTGGGACTAGAAAGCTTCATCTCTGAAGGAAGGTCACAGTTGGGTTTAATTGGCCTGAAGTTAAGAGATGAGTAACCTTCAACTCCATGCAACGTTACCCCAGTGAAGGTACAAAGAGCCAAGGCCACAGGAGGAGGAACAGTCAAGTTTACACAAAGTCACACTGATGATTTGACATTTTAAAAGAAACACAGGACTTTAAACCAATTCCTTTCTAAATACTGAACTAGCTAATTTTCAGTCAATCCCTCCCAAAATCTACCACACCCCAGAACTATTGTTTCAAATAAATATGTTGTATTCTAATAATAAATTAGTGATGTTCTGCAGTTACATGCAAAACAAGAAATAAATTCTCATTATGTATTTGGGGTTTTTGTTTCTTGGCTTTGTTGATTTGTTTTTTTTCTGTTTGTTTGTTTGGGGTTTTTTTGGTCCTTTTGTTTTAGTTTTTTCCTGAGCCTGCTGATGGCTAAGCTCTGTTTACGTGAGCATAAATCAATTTCCCTTTTGAAGGCTAAAATATACACATTGGAAGCTTAAAAAATAACAAATCTGGTGCTGCTTTTGCCCAAGATGCCACAAAGGTGATTTACAAAATGTGATCAGTAAAACTTGCAGTCACTGCTCCTGTGGAACTGCAAACAATGCAGAGTAAAACTGTGAACTTACCTGGATTAATTTAAAATAAAAAAAAAAAAAAAAAACACACCACATTTCCAATTAACTCTGTGCTGCTGCAAAGTAGATCAGTGACTGGTTTTTAATGTGATAGGATTACATCAGCCACAGAGGGACAGGGCTGACTGTACTAAACACACATCTGCACTTGGCCCGGCATTTTCACATCGTTTAATATGAATGGGTTCTGACAGAAATGGGGTGATGTTTGCACTGTTGCTTTGCTACTGGGAGCTGTAACAGGCAGAATCTTGCTCCAGTTTTATTGGGGAAAGACATACTAGAAGAAAATCAAATCCATTCTGTACTGACATGGAGTTTTAATGAAGCTGATTATCCCAGGTAATTTGTCCAGAACTGTCTTTAGAGGGAAGCATGTAGTCTTGGCATTGGACCAGTGCTAATTAATTTAGACAAGCAGAGCTCTGGGTACAGTGTCTGAGCCTCACAGTGCTCACCTGTGCTTTTAAAGCAAAAAATGACCTAAAAAAACCTCAAACAAACACAAGAACCCCGGAATCAAATCCACCCCACAAACTGCTGCATTTTCCCCTGGTTCTCTCGTTCTGAAACACCAATAATCTGGTTAATGATGAACACTAAGAGATGCCAGAGGTCACTGTGTGTTTGCTACACATGCTTATTCTGTGTTTACCCTCACATGTCTCTTATTACAGAAGTTCACCCAGCACATCCATCTCCATTACCTGTGAACATCCAGACCCTGAGTGGGAATACCCTTCACTCCAAGACATCACCCCATATTATTAAAATGCTAAAGCAAAAATATGTAAGTTGTACTTTTTAAAAATACAGATAAGGACTATTAGCACTTGGATTTGAAACAGCACTGGACTACTACTAACAGGACTATTGCAACTACAACTTCAGGGAGTTGTTCCAGCACTTTCCAAAAAGTCCCAGCCCCGGGAGGTGTTTCCAGGGTTTTTGTTTGTTTTAAATAACTAACCTAAACCTTTCCTGTTGGATATAGATCAGCTATTACTTATGGTGCTCCCCCAGGGAGTGAACACGAAGAATGGATCACTGTTCCCTAGAGCTGCCTGCCCTACTTTCCGTCTTTTAAGTTGAAGCAAAACCAAGCTCTCCCAGCGAGCCTGTTTCTATGAAATTTAATCAGGGTCATTAAACCAGGGCCCTGTGTCCCCACGTTCAAAACACAGCACCTGTCCCATCTCCCTGTACCCTTTATGGCGATTACTTCCCAAAGCCTTTACCTTCACCACATTCAAGAACACACTTTCACGTAACAGTGCAACTCTGACCTTGCAGCATTTTTTTTGTTGTTATTTTTGAGACCTGTACCTTAGCTCTGAGCACTTGCAGCAGCAGAACAATATTGCACGAGGAGGGGAAATGCACAGGTGGTGACAATGACTTCTCCAGGAGCTCTGCAAACAAACTCTACAACACAACTCAAGCTGAATCTCTAACTAGTCTGGATGAGTTTTAAGCTCCATGCAGCCCCCTTTAAGTATTTACTGGCCAGCAGAGTCCTTCATTTCAGAGGAAAGATGCCAAGGAAATTGTTCACACCAACAAGAAACATAGTGTAGAAAAGCAAACTAAAACCTAGCACTGTGAAGAAATATCCATCAGACTCTGGGGTTTGCCTCTCTTGCATGATCCTAAATGGATATTCAGCTCTTCCAACTGCAGTAAAAATTATGACCTGTTGTTGAAACTGCAAAAGATAAAATCTCCTCTAAATGCTGGTGAGATTGTGAATCTGTAACATGTGCAGCTGCCCCGCTCTCCTCTGTGCATAATGACAACTGAATTTAGTTACCAGAAAAACAACCTGGGAGCAGGGAAAACTCTGAGGCGCTCAGAGCATTCACAGAATTTCAAACCCAAACATAACTATGGCACAGAGCTTTTGGAGGGAAAAAAAAAGAAGAAAACTCACCTGTCTGTAGCAGCACCAACATCCAGCACAACCAGACTGGGAACCACCCAGAGCCTACCCTGTTAACGTTCAGGACTTTCCATCCAGGCCTTTCTGATCAAGGAGCAGACCCTCTTTAGCTGATTGCCAATTGTTTTCATGACTCCCATTAATTCTGCCTCTGGGTGTCTGATCACCACAGCTGCTGCTGCTCGTGTTCCAGTGCTCCACCACCTTTCCTCCCAGCACTTCCATGCTTTTTTCTATTCCATGCCCTTCAAACCTGCTTTGGGAGCCTGACCACGGCCTTTGCTGTTGACTGCTGGAGTTTTGTCAGCAGGGCACTGGCTGCCAGCTCTTGTACAAGAGAGATTTGGATTAGGTATTAAAAAGAAATTCATTACTTTGAGGGTGGTGAGGCACTGTTAGAGGTTGCCCAGAGAAACTGTAGCTGCTCCATCCTTGGAAGTGTTCAAGGCCACACTGAATGGGGATATGAGGAACATGGACTAATGGGAAGTGTCCCTGTCCACGGCAGGGGTTTTGAACTGGATAATCTGTAAGATCCCTTCCAACCCAAGCCTTTCTGTGACTCTGTGACTAGAACCCGCTCCTACCCGCCCTTACTTAGGCAGACCTGCATTTTCCCAAGCACGAAACATCTCGCGCCTGTAACTCAGGGAGCTTGTCAAGCGCTCGGTCTGCCCCGCCGAGGGCCCTGGCGGTTCTGCTCAGCTCTGCGCGTTCAGAGGCAGAGGAGCCGTGGCCGGGCGGCGCCGCCTCCCGCGGGTGCCACGATGAACTGCAGCGATGCGCGGCGGCTGCGGGCGCTGCTGGGCGCGGTGCTGCGGGAGCTGCGCGGCCCCGGCAATTCCAGCGCGGCCCCGCCGGGCCCCGGCTCTGGCCCGGGGGCGGACGGCTCGCTGTACATCCTGCTCATCATGATCTTCTACGGCTGCCTGGCCGGGGGGCTCATCCTGGCCTACACCCGCTCGAGGAAGCTGGAGTCCAAACACGACCCCTACCACCTGTACATCGAGCGGGACTGGGGCCCCCGCGGCCCGGGGCAGGCGGCACAGGAGGGTCCCGAGGGGCAGCGGCTGTGACAGCGCCGGGACCGGCAGGAGGAAGGGTCTGTCCTGCGGGGGCATCGCTCCTGCCGCCCTCCCACCTGGCACTACGGACAGCCAGCGACTGCGGGGGAAGAGAAACAGACTGCTGAGCAGTCGCACAGCGCTCAAGGCTTGTCGTGCGGTAAAAGCTGTCCTACAACTCTTTGCATTCGTTTGTGTTGCTTTTCTACAATAAACACCTGCATTACCTACTGCAGCCTTTCAGTACTTGAAGGGGGCTTATGAAAAGGAGGGAGAGTGAGTTTTTACACGGGCTGGTGGCAATAGGACAAAGGGGAACGGTTTTAAACTAAGAGGAAATCCATATTTGCTTTTAGGAAGAAATTCTTCACTGTGAGGATGGTGACACACTGGAACAGGTTGCCCAGAGAGGCTGTGGATGCTCCATCCCTGAAGTGTTAAAGGATGGGGTTCTGGACAACCTGATCTAGTGGGCAGCATCCCTGCCCATGGCAGGGGATTGGAACTAGATGACCTTTAAGGTCCCTTCCAATCCAAACCATTCTGTGATTACATATGTACAGAGACCTCTCTCATCTTTCAGCTTTAGATCTTAGTTTAACATCCTTTCTTTAAAATCTGTTTGTATTCTACCTTGTTGTCTGACCACCATGCTTCTGCTGCCAGCAGCGTTCTGCAGAACTAAAAGCAGGTCCATTATTGCTGTAGGATGCTGCCTTCTGTCACTCTGGAGCATTGACAGCTGGGCCACGGATTGGAAGGCTCAGGTCTCCTTCTGTTAAAGCAAGATGGGTTTGGCTCACCTGGAAGCATTTATCAAAACAAAGAGAGCTTAGAAACTGAAGTTGTTCACATGAAGGAAGTTCTGTGGCTTTGCCAATGCACAGGAACTTTTAAAGCCATCAAAACCAGCTGACTGTCTAATGAACTTTCTCACTGGCATAACTCAAACACTGTATCAGACACACGAGAAGATTAGCTGTGAGGATTCCCTTCAGTACAATCAGAATTAAGCTGACCACAACTAAAGCATCCCTCTCTAAAATGAGGGGATCATTATGCATATACAAAACCTTTTATTTACCCTGTCTCAGTAATTAACTTCTCCTTCTGCCTGACCACTGCCCACGAGCAGGACTGGCCTGAGAGGCCTTACAGACTCAGAGTTTAGGAATTATTCAGGACCACTGAACAGCTACTTTAGACAAGAGCAGGGGAAGGACTGTTACAGTCTTCTGAGATCTGCACACACTAAAGTTTCAATGCACTGGACACTAAAATGTGTGCTTGCCACACTTGGGTTTAGTATCAGCTGGTTACTGACTGCTTTCCACTGCTTCATCCTACAGACAAATCCGAAGGAAGGCTGTGGGAGTCCCTCCAAGTACCACTGACTTCTTCATCCAGTTTTCCCCTATCTCCATAACCCACTTCTCCCCCCAAAATGCAAAGTGTGTTCAACACACTGTATTTAGGTCCTAACTAAAAACAAGGGCTGCCCTTGTGAGAAAGTCTGCCCTGCATGACACAGCTCAAAAAGAAGGAAAGCACAAGACCTTCTGCCAAGTAACTTAACTAAACATCTAATTATCTGCTGTTCTATCTGTGCCTTTCAACACCTGAAAGAATCACAAGGTCTCCACGAACTGTAGTAATCTGTGATTTACATCAGTCCATCTGTTCTTATAGTTACAGTTCAACCAGCTGTTTAAAGAAGGTGACACCATTGTGCATTAATACACACCCAGGTCCTTAAAAGACCCCAGAAGAATTCATACTGTGGCATACAGAGACCTTGATAAGTCATCATTAAGCCCAGCAGCAACATTCATTTCTTTCTGTTTGTTTTAATAAGTCCAGTACATCATGTACTGGTTGGAAATCCTGAAAGGCCTTGAAGCTGCAAACTCAGTGGGACTGAGCTGAAAGAGGCTGCAAGGAGACAAAAATTAGCCACTGAAACTCACCCAACACATTTTTTCCAGCAACAGGATATTCTAAGGCACCTGTATTACTGATGCAGGGCAAAGTGGCCACTTAGTCCCTGTAGTCTATTCCATCACTGGACTCAAGGGACAAGAAGACAGATTTATATTGTTAATCCCACCCTTCTGAAGGAAAAAGCCCAGCAATCAATATCCTACCACTGCTCAGTTAGGAACAAAAAAGAAAAGCTTACTTTTCTAGAAAGGCCTACCCATTCTTTTCTTCAGCCCAGGGGGAATTTTGAAAGAGTAATTTCTGAATTCACTTTCAACATACCTGCAAAAACACCTTCTGGTTTGGCCCTAATTGATTTATGATTCCCAGCACTCATAAACCTTTACAATGCATCAGCTGTCAGAGCCTTGCTCAGGATCATTACCAGGAGTGACTGCTTGCAAGGCCTCACTGAAATCTACACCTCCACACCCAGCAAGGACTTTCCAATATATTTGGCACTGTTTCCAGAGCACATTTCTAGAACAATCTGTTTCCACAAAACCACTGACCTTGCATTGGGATCTTCATCTTTCCAGTGTCAGCTTAAAAGCTGCTGTCTGTACTGAGCAGGTGTTCATCGGTAATTTGATGTTAAATCTCCAGTTACCTCAAGAAGCTTTCCTTATTTGAGTGTTTCATTTCTTCTTAGCAGACAAACAGCAGAGGCACAACAACATGTTCTCAGTGAAAATACTTACAACCCAAGGATCTGGCCCAAATTTTGTTTGACTTCATCCAGGTATGTGCTGGACAACAGCCTAAACTCCAGTAAATTTTAGAGGGAAACGTCAACTTGAGATAGTTACAGCTCGACACCATTTACTGCCTGAGAGTGCTCTGGTGAGGCATTTGCAACAGGGTTATTATTCCAGGCACACTTTTTCCCTCACAGAGCTCACAGCCAGCCTGTTCTGCAGTGCCCCAGCACCACACAGCAACAATTAGAACCTACAACACAAGCAGTAAAGATAAGGAAGCCATAAATTATTTCTTGCACTTTTAATATCACAAGAACAAGCTATGAAAACTTCTAATAATAATAAAAAAAGATAGAATATCAGGTAGGTGTTTTTTGGTTGGTTTTCTTTTTTTTTAGGTTTTTTTTTTAAATTAATCTTACAAGAGGTCTTAAACAATTTGAAAAACTTACAAAATATATTCAAGTGTGGAAAGTTATTTTACTGGTAAAACAGCATTTCTTTATAATGTACTTTTCTCCAGTTAGGGTAAGGAAGTGTAGGCATATGAGAACAAACCATTCAGACCATCAGAACAAATCCCTTTTCTCCATTCCAAGGAACAGCACAAGTCAATCAATTTAACTGTGGTATCCCAGAAGAACAAAGCAACATAAAAGTAGTGACTGATAAAGACAATACAGGGAACATACACAAAAAAATCTATCAAGTCTTCAGTTTCGTAGGTTGAAGTGCTTGGCTCTTCAGCTGGCTTTGTTTCTGGTTGTACAAGAGTAACTTGGTATCAAACAAAAAAAAACGGAAGCATGAACTCCAGTTTAGAGTTTGGAGCATAAACATACTCATTTTATAGATGCCCATTGTAATTTTTGGGTACTGCAGCAGAGTCAGCTATGGGGAACACTAAACCAGCTGGATGGTTTTGTACTGAATGAGATTAAAGAATTTTTGTGTTCTCTTGTGCTAATTTAAGCAGCACAGAACAAGGATGAAAGAGATTTTTTGTTTGTGCCATTAGTTACTCAGTTGTAAAGCCATTGCTTGACTGTAACAGCTCCATTATCACTTACAATAATAAATAAAAATATTTTGCAAACCAGCATTTTCAGTTATAAAGAGCAAGAGCTAATTCTGGTAGCAGTGAATCATCCCAAGTGATCCCCACTGAAGATGATGGAAATAGGCAGGAGTAACGGGCTCTTCTCCCCAGCCCAAAACAATTGTGTTCCAACGAATTTCTCTACAAAACCCCTGGGTGTGCACACCAAGTCCCATTCCAGCCACAGACCTTACTAAGTAAGAGTTTAACCTGGGTTTGTCCAGCTAGGCCAGTTAGTTACCTTCCTAAGTCCCGCTCCAGGTAGTGGTAGCTTTTTTTGTTTGGTCAGTCTTTTTCATATTAACTGCAGGAGTCAGATTTAAAAGCAGCTTGCATTTGAATAGCATGAAAATAATAACTGAGAATAACATCTAGTTGAAAACATTGCCTCATATATTCTAAATCTCCCAGTCTGCCTAGAAAAAGCTTAAAAATTACTATACAAATTCAAACTTGGATAAAAATATCCAAAAAGTATTTATTCACAGGACAATCTTATCAGGTACTGATATAAGTGTGTGTTCTGGTGACCGCCTTCAAAAGTCCAACAAGCCAATGCTACAGTTGCACCCATTACTACATTTTAAAAGGCAAAACCTGTTTCGTGTTTGCAAAGCAGATCTGTAACACCACTTACACAATCAACAGCGAATTAAACAGCCAGTAGAGTACACCACACCAGTGTCACAGTTCAACAATGCTGTACCAGTTACAGGCATGGTTAAGGTTACGTTTTCTTTTCAAACTTGTATAGGAAATACAAATATATGAACATCGCGTATTCTCTTATGAACAAACAGTAATTAAATAGAGTGATCCTTTCTTCACTACATACAGAAATAACAACGTATTTACAATATTTACAGTTTTCAAAAAATTCTCTTCCTGCACTGGGCTGCAGGAATTCAAATTCTTCTGCCTGAAAAAATAGGTACACTATAGTTCTGACCATAAACAGCCTCCGAACAGACATAAGTTGCTAATTCTAACTTACTGGTGTATAGACTAGAGGGACTGAAGAGGAAATACAGCCGCCGTTTCACCTGAACACCCCGTCATTTGTGGGCTTACATGGCAAACTACAGACACTTTAGGATGTTTTACACGCGTGAGATATTGCTCATTTTCACAGTTTTCTCGATTTAAGCCACAGAACCAGTGAGCTGCAGCTGTAACTGCTTTCAGACTGCTGTTGTCATTGTCACATGGGTTATGATGGGAGTTACAAGCTCCCCTCCTGTGTTTTTAGTTACAAGCAAGTGCTTACAGATATAGCTACGTTTTGGGGTTTGGTTGGTTGGTTTTCACTCAGCTTAAAATAGAAACAGGCCAATTTAAAACAAATCTGCTGATATCCAGATTTACTCTTAATTTCCCAAGTTAAGACAGACAGTCTTAACCTGCAGTCTTGAAAACTATTTTAAAGCAGCTGAAAGCTTTAAACTGCAAATTCAAAGCAAGACACACAAAACGCCCCAGAATCAATAATTAAAGGCCATGTTTACAAAGAACATGAAAAATACAGTAAAAACCTGCATGAGAGGAAGATTAGTGTTTGTGGTGCAGAGCTGCTGTTCTCAAAAATAATTCAAGCACCTGTCCTGAATAACAGTACTGAAGAGAAAAATTGAAGGCTTCACAGTAATACACACTTTCAGTGCCACTTTTGAACTACAATGTTTCTTGAAAAGACAAAAAAGGATTCAAAACTCGCAGACTTAATGTGGGAAAAATAGTCCAAACCTCATAGCAACAGACTGAACAGTTAAAGCAAACAGAAATCATGTTACCAACCTATTTCTAGGTCACTGCAAGACTTCAAAGGAAAAATATTCAGTTTGAAGTCCTTTACATGCATGTGGCAAGTTGTTGGCACAGGAGCTCCGAATCATTCAGCATGCCCTACATATGAATCCATGTAAATTAACCAGGACCAAAGTCTGGGAAGCTCAGACCAGAAGGAAACCCGATGAGATTATTTAGTTCTATCACATCAGAGAAGGTAACATGACCTTTCCAATGGATTGGGAGATTTGCTCCTGTCACAAACAGTAGAATCCTTCCCAGCCTCCTACAATCAGGAGTAGGTAGCTTTCGGAATTCCATCCACATGCCACAAGCACCTTCTTCAAAAAAGAGAAGATGCTACTGTAAAAACAGGTCTTTTCAAGTTGAAGAAAAACTACTTTTGGTCAGAATTGTATATGAATAGGATTTTGTATTTAAATAGCAGAGTTTGAGCATCCAGCAGCGGCAGCACAGCTGCATGTAAGGCATTTGGGGAATGATTCGAGTACAGCTCACTGCCTTCAGCACTTCACTAAATTCAACTAACACGAGCAACCTCTCACATTTTAAGATTATTACTAAAGCCGTGGTCACCGGAACCAGCCCCGAAGGATCTGCGGACCTTCCGTAACAACAGATGCAACACAAAGAGTGCGTGTGTTCCCAGGGGAGAACAGCTGCCTGCACAGTGGACTCCTTCGTGCCAAATGAGAGAGGTCACTTCCCTGGCAGTCCCTGCTAACTGGCCCAGTCCTGGAAGCGGAAGCAATCCCCGGCGATCTTCCACACGGTGTTGGTGGGGGTGGCCTGTGCTGTCAGCAAGAAGTTCTGATTGAAGTAGCGCTGCTTATCGCCATCAAATTTGACAGTCCCACTTGTCACCACGAGCACTGTTGTCTGGCCTTGAGTAGCTTGTTCTTCACAAGGAGGTATAAAATGATGAAGAAAACAACTCAAACAAAGACTAGCAGGTAAAGGAGCAGGAAATGCACAGAGAGGCTTCGTTCAATGTGGCTGTGCCAGCGCCAGGGTAACACCAGCTGGTTCCACAGCGGGGCAGAACAGCTTTGGTGCAGCGTTTCTACACAGACAACGGTGGGGTCGCTCAACACGGCTCTGCAATGGCTTTGCCCTTCTCACCTCCTGCTGTTCACTTAGAGCACTATGACAAACACCTCCATTTTTGCTCAGAATAACCTCTCATTACTTGAGATATACACACATGTAGGTATTTAGCAAGTTGCATAGACCTTTTCCCCCCATTATTAGACATTATATCTTTTCCACAGCAGAGCAAAGCAAGTGTGCTTGACCACAGGCTTTTTCCTCACTTATATTCCCAAAATGTCCATTAGAAACAATTTATTAACTTCCCAGAAATGTAAGCCTTTCTTTGCAGTTGTTAATGAGAAATCTAAAGAACTTAACATCTATTCTAGATGTGAAGAAATCAAAGTACAAACAGGTTAATAACGATTTGTTCCACGTTATACTGCAGGTCAGGACCAGAGGCCACCATAGAGGTCTCTCAAGGACAACATAATCTGATAAGCCAGAATTTTTCCATACATAAAAATACATCATTTCTGAGTATGATCTTAACAAAAAAAGTCCTTAAAATATTTTCCCAGACATGAGAAAAAGTGTGGAGTTGCTGCATCTTTTGATTTGTGCTTTATTTATGCACAACTTGACATTTCAAACCTTGGTATTTTCTCTAAGCTTATTCGAAAGGAAATACTAAGCCCTATTATAATTGCACTTCACTTTTAATAGTTAAAAAAGCCCTGAAAAATAGATAAATTATAACACAACCTTACCGTGAACGGGTTGGCAGTCCAACACATTAACCTGGAACTCACTTGATGGCAACATTTCAAAAAATTTATTTAGTTCTTCTTGCCCAGACACTGCATTCCCATTCCAAACTAACGTGGCTTTGTCCAAATACAGCCTGGTTAAAGCCTGAGTGATTATGAAAATAGAAATTTAGGATAAATATGTGAACATACAGTGGACAACACACAAATCCTGCCCCCCTGTACTGACCCAACCCTGCTCCTGTAAGACACAGCTGCACATACTGGACTTGGGCCATGAAGAAGTGTAAGGCACTTCCCTTTTCACAGCACGGCTGCACAGGAACACAAAACCCTCTGCAGGGCTCGGCCTGGCCACCACAACACATGGGAACCCACGTGCAGCTGCCTTCCGTGCAATGCCAGTTAGAAAAGTAACAAAAAGAGTACAAGACAATTTAAAGTATTGTCAAAAATCTACATACCCTTCTTCTCTTATCCATCGTCTCATAATAAATATTGACAAACTCATCTGCAGCTCTACAAGCTTGATCCACATAGGTTTTGAAATCCTGGAGGGAGGAAATCAGATCAAATTATTAACATTACACAACAACAAATGTATGCAATTTCTTCTGCAAGTTGCTTTGATTGGTCTTTTCCACCCTCACCAAAGATGGTATCAAGTAATGTTGAAATTTATTCTAAACTCTTTTTCTACTTGCAGGAAGTGCCAGCTTTTAGCTAGGTGATAGTTTTAGAATTAATTTCGAACACTGATATATTTCTTGTATTGAAATTGTAAATATTTACATTGGAAAATGGGCTACAGCTGGCTGCAGGTGCTGTGGACACAAAAGTATTCAGGGAAAACAGTTGTTGCTGTGATGGTTGTTCTGGAATAAAGTTAAGGAATAAGATTTATTCAGTATATTTCTGAGAATTAGCATGAACCCCATCACACTGCCACCCTACTCTCGTTTTTTAATACACCTTCATATACAAATACAAAATATAATGGGAGAGAACACCAACGTGCTAGATGTATCTGTTCCACTACCAGTCAGTGCTGAATCCACAGGTAGAAACCAAATTTCTCACACCTCATCACTACCCTTACATCTCTCTACTTTTATTCATCCCCAGGCCACAGTCTGAGCTGTCCCATCCCTGCACTGTGATCTCACCGCTCTGCTCAGTTTTTCGGCTGTTTGCCCCTTGATCCCTTTCAGACCCTGAACTGGGACCCTCTGGAAAGCAGATTCTGAACTTCCCGCCCATACAAGCTACAAAACTGCACTTGGTGCTGTTACGATAACTTGGTTTAGTGCAACTCAGTCAGTGCTGCACAACCAAACTACGTATATTTTCTTGGAAGCCCTTATTGAATAGACACCAGAATTACTGAATTCCTCCAGTATCCCCACGGGAAACACTTATCTATTCAGAGAAAGCTCCACACTGCAAAATAACCACCAGGCTAGCAAATAATCCCTGTTTAGTCAGCAAAGTCAAACACTCTCATGTTACTATGCTCTATTTCTTCTCTCCCTCTGTAGGGACATGAGCCTATTCTTCACCTTCCCCAACAATTCCCCAACCCACAGGCTAATTCCAAACACACGTGGCAGAGACGCTGTATCCCAGAAAAATGCCCGGAGAAACTCCCTGGCACTGGAGACAACGAGTGTCAGAGCTGGCCCTGGGAACAGGAACTGCAGCTCTGCCCGTGGTGTCAGAGCAGGTGCTGTGTCCCCTCAGCCGGGGTGACCCTGCACCGACACTTCCCAGCCAGCACTAACCATTCCCACTCAGTTCCAAACGGATGGAAGAGGCGCGAGGGAAAAACCAGGAGACTGCAGTGAGCTGTCGGGGTACCCGGAAAAGGAGCCAAGCGGGAAATGAACTCTGCTGGCCTTGATGCTCCAGATGAGTTTTCACAGCCGCAGCCCAGCACTGCTTTTTAAATTCCGGGAACAGCTCAGGCTGGAATAAACTCCTGGAAGGCCACCTGGCCCTAACCCCTTCCCAAGGCAGCGCTGACTCCAAGGGTCGATCCCCTTCCCAGGCCTGTAGCTGACTGCTCAGTGTCCCGCCCTCGGCAGGGAAAAAAAACCCCAAAACAACCCTCTAGAAGACTCTGACGACAATTCCAAGCAGTTTCCTAACCCACCGACGTCTCCCCGCGCAGAGCGAGGAGGCCCCAACCCGGCCCCCGCGCTGAGGCGACGCCGCCCCGCCCGGGGCCGGGACACCGTCCCGGCCCCGGGCGGGGCGGCGTCGCCTCAGCGCGGGGACGGGGACACGTCCCGCGGCTTCCCCGCTCCCCCACGCCCGCCCTCTGCGCCGCATCCCCCTCATCCCGGCCGTTCCCGGTGGTTTCCCGCCCGGCCCTCACTCACCACGGACGCGGCCATGGGGCGGCGAGGCGGGAGGGCGCCGGAAGTGCACGGCGGACGGTTCCGCCGCGCCCGCGATGCCCCCGCCGCCAGAGTTCCGCCCGCGAACCCGTTCCGGCTGGAGCGTTTATATATATATATATAAAAATATATATTTTATAGACATATTACATATATTACATATATTATATATATTTCTCTATATATTTTATATATATATATGTATATAAATATATATTTATATATATATATAACGATATACCAGGATTTCACATTCAGCCACCTGGGTTAGGCCCCAGATCTTATTTTATTTTGTTTTCGTCGGTTGTTTGATTAAAATCAATTAAACCGGGTAACGAAGTGCCGGATGATTTCAGGATCGCTGGCAAAGTGACGGATTTCTGTCGTGAATTATTTGATACTGGGCGAATCGTGACCACGGAATGAAAGAGGAGTTCAATCTCCAGTAAGATGGAAAGAGTGAATAGCCCTTAGTTTTGCAAATACAGTCTTGCCAGACTTGGATTAATGAGTTTGTAATTTTCAAGGGTTTATAATTTAGTCCCCTCTATGGTTACATAATTCACACTGAGAGATTTCCGGCTGAACATCCACTATTAAAATAACCCAACAACCTACAATGCTTTTTAATTTACTGATTCAGAATATAAGTACTGGAATCATAACACCCTTGAACTCTGCACCTCCAAAATCTCACTGCAGGGCTGTACACAACACTGAAGGGCAAGTCCAGGAGGCAGCAGAAGGCAAATATTCCAAATTTCCATAGCCTTTCTACTGAACAGAGACCAAAGAAATGATCCATGGGCTCTATCAGTGATTTAAGCGATTCACACAACACTTTAGCTCTCAAGCTGCTAAAGCAGCCTCTGTGAAGGCTCTCATGGTTTCATATGGGTCACGTGGACTGTCCTCTGTGACCACGAGCCTTTATGAATTGTGAATGGCTCCTGTGAACTTCCTCAACTGCTGTTAGAGCTACCAAAGAGTGCAGTAATGTTGCCCAGACTGAGACAAGTTTGAGGAACTGTCTCCTAAAATGAGGGAAGCAACTCACACTGGCCAAATCCAGACAGATGCTGATTAATGGGGTGCCTGTGAAACTGGATCATGTCTCAGGGTTTTGCCTGAGCAAAGGGCTGAATGAGAATTTGAAGATTTGATCTGATGATTTAATGGGAACTGGGAGTTAAGTCTCAGGTGCTCAGCACATTGGTACTTTAACCTATAGGCTGGGTACAAAAATAATGCTAAAGCTGGAGTGGGATTTACTAAACCACACTGGGCCTAGTTTGGACAGTTCCCAACACAAAAGGCGTATTTCTCTGGGTAGACCCAGGCAGAACCTGTGCTTGTTACAGTCCCATGGGGACTCTGCACCACTCCACCTCAAATTTCTATCATACCAGAACTACAGGAATGTAATGACTCTTATCCTGATAAATACCTCTATTGTTGTTTAAGGAAAAACAGGACTTGCTGTATATTGAAGTGGTAACTGTATCCACTGGGATAGGATGAGATCAAGCACAAATAACTGTTCCATTTTACTCCATGTCAAAGCAGTCCCAAGTGGGGATAAGTTTTCAGAACAGATCAGTTCAAAGTGTCACTGCAGTTGCTAGTTAAGGAGATTTTAAAATCCTCTTCATTTCATTAGGTAATGAAGCATTATTTCAGCTCGTGTGAAAATCTGCCCCCATGCAAGTTAAACATCTGGCCAGGTAAACATATTTGTGGGGTTTTTCCTCCAATATCTTTTCCCCTTCAAAAAAACACCTTAGAGAATAGTCACATTTAAAGTCAATTTAATGAATATTTTTGGATCAGCTATAGATGGAGCACTAACCACTGCACATGATAGATTTAATAGAACCACTGTGCAGAGTTCACTCACGAGAAGGCCTGAAGGGCTGGAATTATAGTTTATGTGCTCTCTGAAATTGTTAGCTCAGGTCAGCTTCTAACATATTCTGAGCTCAATTTACACTTGGCTTAGACCTCAGTGCTGGGCACTGGTAGGCTGCCCACAACAATTAACTGGTTAGTGGGATGAGTTAACAACAATCAAATGCTAAGTAATATTTCCCCAGGCCAAACGTACCTGAGACCATTTAAGGAATCACTTTCCAGTAAAGAATCATTTACTTCCAGCTGGAAGTAAAGAGTTTTGTCACTTGCTTTTCTTTATAAATGGAAGAATTAGGAAAATCCTGTATGATTATTGAGTATATGCTTTCAGATGCTTTACTTTTATTCCTGAATCCTGCAAAATATTGAGTGCTGTCTGATCATCTGACCTGCAGTTCTGTGCTCAGCTGATCTGCACAGCAGCTCTGCAGCAGGGAAAGCCCTTTTCAACTTTCCCTGCTCTCTATGTTATTACAGTGGTACCAAATGTTCCCTAAAATATCAGTAATCCAATAGTCAACTCTTAAAAATTGGCAAAACTCTCACTAACTCTAATGGAAGCCAGACCTGGCCTTTGCTTTGTTTGTTTTGTCTTAACAGGGAATAAACAAAGCTTCTTCAAAATGTACCTTTAACCACTACCTCAGCTCCAAAGTCCCAGTGCTCAAGCTCCGGTTTTAGCAAATATCTTGGCTAAATGTCAAACAATTCCATCAGCTCTTTGAAGGCAAATATTAGACAGAGACTGCATCTGCAATAATTTCCCCAAACACCATTCAATTAACCTACTTGGCTAAAAGGTGATGCAGAAATCAATATTTTGTAACAGAGGCATGTGTTTCAGAGGAAACTAATCGATAGGCATCAGAGCAATTTCAAATTACAGGCAAATATAGACAAAGTTAAAATATCAAGCAGCTGAGGTATCAAATGCATTGCAACTTAAAACAGCTCTACTATTTTAGGCAGGATATTCCTCCAGTTACAATTTCAACGTATCATTGCTTTTATTGAATTATTTTCCTAAAATAAAAATAACGACTGTAATTTTGGGAGAACTCACAAAAGAGGTTGGAGTTCCCCCGTTGGTCCTTCACCAGCTGGTAACTGGAACTGTGCATGAGGTTTCCTCTGAGTACAGCAGCTGGAATACACCTGAATATTTGGAATTCTTCTGTTTGTTTTTCATGAGGTGTTTTTCTCCCCCTATTCCTTCTAACCTTGCACATACATATGAGATGAAAACAGCAGGAGACCCAGCTTGGAGCCCAGATGATAAATTTTAGCATTGGGGGGGGGATGATTTTGTACCTACAGTAAGAAAAGTTTCTCATTCACAAATCTTTTAACAGGAAGAGCTGTATGAAATGAGCTGATTCTCAATTGTTTTGCTGGCCCTGTGAAGGCAACCCCCTCTCTGTGCTTCCTTTGAAGTCAGTGTAGACATGGAACAGCCATGGAGATCCTGGAACTCAGATGTCCCCAAAGGTTGCCCCTGGTGGCAAAACAGAAACTCTGCCATCTTTGCTGCTGAAGATTTGCACGGAGGGAACCACTGAATATTCTTTTTCCCAAGTATTCTAAGACCTGAGCTAGACCAAAAGAAAAATGTGAGATCTGACTGTGAATGTGCCCATCCCTCCAACCATTTTAAGGAATATCTGTTAAAACAGAGATGAGAAGAAAGGCTGAAGAGCAAGCCCAGGCACAAGCTTCCTTTTCCAGCTTTACTCTTTCCCTCCATTTATTCTATTTATTTATGAAGACCCAAAGCTAAGTCAGTGTCTAACCTCTTCTGTAACAGCCTAATCTATTTTTCTTTGAGAAGTTACAGCCTTTGGAATGAATCACATAGGAATCTTCCTGCAACATTTGTACTGCATTTACCAAATACTCAGAAGGATGAACTCCCATTCCCACTGCAGTTATTAATAACAAACTCTGCATTGCTGCAGTGTAAATACTGATTCACCAAAGAACACTAAATCTGGTTATTAACTCCCAGGATTGCACTAGTCTGCCAATGAGGAATGCATTTAAAAAACATAGTAGTAAGTAGGGGGGTAACACAAGCTGTGAGTGATTTACAGGAACCTTTATGATTTTATCACCAAACAGACAAGAAAGGTAAATACTCAGAACAAAACAAGGCCTAAGACATTACATCAAAGCAAGAAAAGGGATTATCATATTGAAAAATACTATTTCTCCATGTTGCTATTCTCTAGATATGAAGGATATGAATGTTCTCTTTGAAAGAAAGAGGAAGACCAAACCAATGGAATCAGAAACATAGGAGATTTTCCAAATGACCTTTGGATTTATATTTCAAGATTATTTTGTAAGGACACTGAGAGATATTCTTTCCTTTTGGGGCACTAAAACAGAACAGGTAATAGGAGGATTCAGGGCACACTTTTAAACCCAGTCAAATTTTATTCAGGGACCTGGCTGGCATTTACCATCAGTCCTGGTTCAGTTCTCAGAAAGGAGGCAATTTCCTCTGTAAAGGTTCAGCCGTTGTTGCACCTGGCACAGTGTCCCAGTGGGAAAATGAAGATACAGATAAGCTATCTGTAGCTAAAATGTTCTCTCTGCTTCTGCACAATGTCAGTACATCTAAAAGACAAAGTACAGGAAAAGTGAGCATCTCCTGTAATTGTGATTTAAAGAATCAAGGTGAATATGCCCATAGAATTATAACAGGCTGCGTCCCTAAATTCTTGTCAAGATTCATTATAAATGAACCTTTTATTTACGTTTCAAACATTAATGCACCACTGTGCAAGAAATTGTTTCTTAGGGATTGGCAGCAGAGCATCCAAGAAACTGGCTTAAATGCCATCAAGGCAGCCAGGAATAAACCAACATGCCAATGCTCTGATGGTTTATTCCAGAGCAATGCACCTGGAGCCACCAGCTGTCATACATATTCCATCTGGAGCAACAGCTGTTTGCTCAATAGCTGTCATACTGTCTGACACAAACAATTGTTTGTTAAATTTGTCATCAGGCATTCTCTCTGGGGTTGGAAATACTGCAAAATGTCACATTTTGATCCTGTCCTTGCATCTGGAGCATTTTTTCCTATGTAATGTACAGTGTTTCAGTGCAACTCCAGTCAGAATTACAGGGCCTGTAGCATCTCCGAAAAGGTCAAGTTCAAGGTAGTTCACTGTGA